CAGCTGGTAGCATAATCTTGACAAACTGTGCTGGCCCAAATGTGCTGCTCCCAGGGTGGGCTTAACCAGGGGTAGCTTAGGGATGCTGCCTCACACTCAACTGTGTGCTGATGCTGTGTCTTGTCCTCTGTCATGAGATGAGTAAACGTGATGGGTGCTTAGAGTCTTTCATAATTTTTTATTTTTGTTTAAAGTATACTAGACTGAAGGTAAAGTTCGAAAAAGAGTTTGCTTTCATTCAATGTGGAAATTTATATTGAACTATTATGCGAATGAGTGACTTAAGTAAAATCATAGGAACAACAATCATTCTTACATGAATGTTTACATACTTTTTTCCCTTAGATTTTAATTTCTCTTTGCGTGTTAAATAATAAGAGAATGAGACAAGAAATAGCAAAGAATGGCAGATTTTGTTTTGTTCTGTTTACCTCCCATTTACAATATTAGTCCCTAAAATATTTATATTTAGTTCAGAAAATAGCTCCTTTTACATCACTGCAAAAATACGTAAATTATTTCACTTGAACACAATTGCTGTTTTCATACAGTAAGTAACTTATAGGCATTAATATATAATGAAAATATGGAATTCTATAGTGTATTTATAATGCATTCATAGAGCTTAAGGCACAAATGCGTCATTAATTCATCTAGTCTAAACATGCTGACCGTTACATTTCACAGCTTTTCCCCTCTATTTATTCTTGTAATTTGAGTTTCTTTAAAGACCCACAGATTTTATTTAGATTTGCACATACCAAGCAGCAACATATCGTCTAATTTCCTTTACAGTTTTCAGTTTGCCTCCTAAACACACACACAGAAACTCATTTCTCGGCTATGGAAAACACTGTTCTCTCCTCAGCCAGTTCTGTGAACAGCATTAAGTATACTCTCTACCTTGCAAAAATAGTTATGCAGACAGTATTTATTCCTTGCAGTTTTCTTTTCTGTGTTCTATTAAATCAGCATTTCTCTTTTTGTACTACCCAGAGCCATTCTGGAAAGAGCATCTGCCTAGTCTAGACCTCTCTGCTAGACCCTGTTGGACTCTTGCAGCCCTTTCTTGGCCACTTTCCTCTGCTGTATTGGGCATAAAACATGTTCAAGGCATCTTCCTCTTCAGTTCATCTGTTCTCTAATTGCTTATTGTCTCCAAACTAAGATAACTTTCATTCAACCGGTAATACAGGCCACCAGTGATAAGTTTCTCATTTTCAAACATGTTTTTTTAGTGTTTCCTTCTATTTTCTTCCACATGGTCTGAAGGGGGAACTGTGCAAGGCTATATCATTATCTTCTGGGGGTTTCATTTCTTTGTTCTAGGGACTACAAAATCCTGATAATGCTTGGGCTACTGTGTTTCTTAGCATGACAACTCTCTTACTGGAAAGATTTACATTGATAAATGCAGAAAGTCATTCACTCTGTACTCTGGGTCAGCATTTCATAAACCATCTGCATTGCAAAGGCATTTATACATCTCTGGATATCACTGAGAGTCTCCACTAGAGAGTCAGAAATGGTGGACAAAATCTATGACCATTTAAATTTTGTATTCTCTATTTACCATTGATCCATTTTCTATATCTTAAATTATCTAGTCATTGCAGCATAGTAAAGTCTTCTTTTTTTTCAGTATATGTTTACATTATTTTAGGATAGAGAAACATTTATGTGCTGCATAAAGGAGAGTCTTGGTATTTTCTCCCTATGGAAACTCATACACACTGTAGGCAATTTGCCACTTGATCTTTTTGAAAAGTGAAATGATTAGGTTTAAGTCCCTGTTAGTAAAAGATTTTCTCCAGCATTTGAATATTTATTGTGATTCTTCTCTTGATTCTCACCATGTTTTCCAATCTCCTTTAAAAAATGCAAATACCAGAACTTCAAGAACAAACCTGATAGTATCTGTTGTGACAATACCTTGTAGAGTGATAAACTCATCTCCCAAGTGCTGCTTACTACTGTGCACCTGAGAAAGGTTGTTTTAACCCTTTTTGTTTCAGATCCCAGTAGTAATTCATACTGAGTTGGTCATTCACACTGGTCTCTAAATTGTTTTGGAAATTGTTTCATTCCAAGAGGAAAGTAAATCATTTGCAATGTAAATGAGGCCTGGATTCCTTGTTCTCCTAAGTATAACTTAGCAGTGATTGTATATAAAAAAAAAAATAAGTAAAAAATTGACCATTGTACAATTTCTTTATCCTCTGTGCCATTAACCATTATTAACCATTTTCTTTTCAGTCTTTGGGTCTTGCATAGACCTCTCAGCTCTAATATATTTGTTCTATCAAACTTAGTGCATCTGATACTCTGGGAACCTTGCAAACGCATCTGGAAATTTCCTTTTCTGGTGTTGGTCCCCTTCTAAAAATTCCTATTTTAGCCAATTTTTAATTCATTTATTTTGCACTGCACTTTATTTTATTTTTATCTGTGTCACAAGAAGGAGCTAAGAAATATACTGGGGGATTGGAGAGCATCCATCTATACCACTCCTGCCATTACATTTTTTGGGTTGTTAATGTCTTCATCATGGCTCACTTCAACTCCCTGTTGTTTTAAAGCTGAAAAGAACTTATTTCTACTACCATTTCATTCCCCAGCCATGTTGACTGTATTCCTTTATACCTTTTAAGTTAGCTTAGTTTTTTTTGAGATGAGGCAATGGTTGCTTCAAGATACAGACATACTATAGATTTATGCACTGGCATCACAAGGCTTTCTGATTTGTTCTTTATTCCTTTTCTAATCTCATTTAACATCCTATTTTCTGTTTTGACTGCCACTAAACATTCAGTTGATATGTTCAAAGAACTATCTGCAATGACTTCAAGACCATTTTCTTGAGTGGTAATTGCTAATTTAGAACCTATCATTGTGTATTTGTAGCTAGTTGTTGATTTTTTTTTTTCTTGTGCACATTGCCTTCAGTTCATTGGCACTGAATTTCATTCTCTTATTTTATTGCCAAGTCACTTGATATTGTGAGATCCTTTGCAGTCAGCTTTAATTTTTATTGCCCTAAATAAACCAATGCTATTATCTCACCACAGCCTGGAATCAGGTTAGTTTGACAAAATCTGTTTTCCATGTCTTTTTTCTCTTCATTAACATGAATTTTGTTTTTTTTTTCCTTCTGACTATTTATATTTAAAAACAAACAAACAAAAAAAAAACCCTTAGAAGAAAGTAAAATATTTACTTGCAGGGAAGAGATTATACGAAAGTCACATTATCAGTGCTGTAATTTCCAATGATTCATAGTATTTTATGGTTGTGTCTTTGAGACACTCATCTCTGACTTTGATGTTGCATATAAACTAATTGACGTTTTGACTGATTACAAGAAAATTCAGTGTGTGGCCCAGATCCATTGATGTATAAAGCCCAGAATCAATGTGTCTGAACACTTTCAGCCACAACCATGAATATTTTTTATTCTACTAACTTAAGAGAACTGCAAGAAATTAATAAATGTGTAGGGCAGAATTTTCTAAGGGTAGAGATCCAGTTCCTAGTCATAATAAAGCAGTCACACAGTGCAAGGAACATTTTGTTTCTCCTGTCCAGCTGTCTTGAATGTATTAACCTTTTCCAAAATGCAGGAGCACCGAGTTCATAATTTCAGAGTCGCTGTTGTTTCCCTAGTTAGTGGGTTTTGGAAGGGTCGTGGAGGAGGAGAAGATAAGGTAAAGTGGCCTACCCTTACTTCATGCTCAGAATCCTAGTTTGTAGCATCATGTCACTATGCTGATGTTGCCCCTAAGCATCTGTTGCAGTTACTACCTAGACAGTACAGTATATAGTACAACTATCTACAACTTTTCTTTAAAAACATTTCTGGGAAATAGTATTTGTAAGTAGTACTTGATTTAAAAAGCTTAAAAGATGTTGCTACGGAACTGGATTTATGCTAGTGGTCAGTGGAGTTTTTTTGTTCTGGACACCAAATATAAATTCACAGTCAACTCGTACTTGTTTTCAAAGGGGACTGTAGAGAGGGAGACGTTGGTGTTATTTTGCATTTATGCACAGTACTCCTCTGAACTGTGCTACTTCAGGAAATCTTGGTGTTTCCCATATTAAAGAGTAAATTTTGAAGCTTTTTGCAGAACAAAAAAGTTGTGGATACCTAGCATAATTCAATAGTTAAAGGGTTGTATTAATTGAAACCAGCATGTACAGCAGAGGTGCCAATATGACTGAAAGTTCTTCATGCAACTATTAAATCCAGATAATTTTATAAAAGAAGCTGTCTAAAATGTTAAAAGATCATCTGAGTGCTTACTTTTGGTATCAACTTTAGAAGCCTTTTGTCAGTATCCAGAAATTCACTAAAAGAGCTTGAATTCAGTGATCTTTCTACCAAAATACTTCATGGGTTAAATATTACAATACAAAAACATTGAAGCCAGAGGGAAGGCATATGCTCTGATTGTGAATTGCAGGTTTTTAATAATTTTATTTTTTTTTAACTTCTTCTGTTGTGTCTTTGGGGCTGTAATATGGTGATGTCCTTGGAGATGTTTTCCCTGGGGAATTAGCCATAGAAATTCTCAATATGATAAAACAGGCCTATTTTCATGTGCAAACCCAGTTCCTCAAACTAATTGTATTCCCTGCGTAGCTATTGTTCCTGCATCTCAGGAAATTATTCAGAATTTACAAAGTGAGAGAAATATAAATCAGTATAATTTTTTAGTATACTTCCTCCTTTTTTCCCATCTACTAAATGTGGAACTTGCATTACATGTTTGTTGAGAGTGTTGTGGGTATGTGTTCAGTTGTAATGGAGCTTATACTGTGCTGATGGAGACACTAATAACATTTCCAGGAGACAATTACAGCATTAGAGTTGTGCATTTGCTTTTGACTTTGAACATGGGTGGTTGACTTGTTTGTCATCCTGGTAGAGTTTAGTGTTCCTCTATTTATTTGTTTTGTTACAATTTGTTACAATTATTTTTTTTCTTTTGTAATTGCAGTTGTTTCTTATCCTTACTGCTGGTAGCTGCTGTCGTTTGGAAAATCAAACAAACCTGTTGGGCTTCTCGACGGAGAGAGGTATCAAAAACTTTATTGCAGTAGCTTTATCTTTCAGAATAAATTGAGAACTTTGATGAACTATCACACCTCCACTTTCTCCTGTATATGCAATTTAAATATCCTTTTTATACCCTTGACTTTTTATACTGAAGAAGAAAACTATTTCTTTCATCTGTCAAGAATTAGATAAATTGCAGCACTAGACTGCAGAAAGCTAAATTTTCTTTATGGTGGCATATTTAGAATGGAATAGAATATTTCAGTTGAAAGGGAACTACAAGGATTATCCAGCCTGACCACTTCAGAGCTGACCAAAGATTAAAGCATGAGCATTGTCCAAATAACAATATCTTTAACACTGACAGGCTTGGGACACTGACCACCTTTCTAAGAAGCCTGTTCCAGTGTTTGACCATTGCTCTGTAAATAGATGTTTCTTAATGTCCAGTCAAATGCAGCTTTGAAGCATTCTCATGCATCCTATCTCTGGATCCCAGGGAGAAGAGATCAGCAGCTCCCTCTCCCTGTCCCCTCATCAGGAAGCTGTAGAGAGCAATGAGATTGCTTCTCAGGCTTCTTTTTTCCAAACTAGACAACTCCAGGTTTCTTAGCAGCTCCTCATAGACATTCTTTCCAGCCCTGTCTCCAGCTTTGTTGCCCTCCTCTGGACGCACTCGAGTACCTTTACATCCCTCTTAAATTGTTGGGCTGCATACAGCACTCAAGGTGAGGCTGTACCAATGCTGAAACACATTTTTTGACTGGTTGGTTTTGCTGTTTATTGCATCACAACTCTCTCAATAATCTCAAAATAGTAGTGCAGAAACATTGGCAAGCTGAATGAACAGAGGATCATAGTGTAGCATTTCAGGCTTCCAGTAATTTATTTAATGTTGTGACGCTGTGTTTTTATCAACAGTCATTGGAACACCAAGTAGGAGAAAACTCTCTTGCAAAGAGTTTATACTGTCTTCTTTTTTATTATCTCTTTTTTCTTGCAATATTTTTTTAAATTCTGAGAAAAATTCTCTCTCTATGAGTATCAGTATTTCCGTCACTAAAACTGTGATACAATTGAAGCCCTTCAATAAACACTCATGCATTAAATCACCTTATTCTGTTGTCTAAATTCTTACAGCTGTGTTCAAAAATTTGGATCAAATATTTGTTCTTATCTTTTTAACAAATCATTACACTTAGATATGATCAAACTTTGGTTATGTATGCTGCTGCATGTATATAGCATGATTTTATACTGATAGTAGTTGTATTTCATTTTGTTCTCATAAATAAGATCTATAATTTTTAGACAGGGATTTTTCACGCCCTCGAAGTTTCTAATCTTGATTTTTGGAAAAAGCACTTGCTTAATGAACTGTAATCTTGATTTTTTTTTTTTTTTTTTAAAGGGCAATCTTTTGTCTACTTAATTATTTCTTCTTAATTTACAGGCACTATGAATGTTTGAATAACATTTTTTTACTGTATATCTACAGTGAATTTGTATATGCTTTAAAAGTGCCAGGTAACTAGCACTTATAATTTTCCTTCACTGAAATTATAGTGTACTAACACCAAGAGTTAGCTTAAACTGGTGCTACAAAAAAAATGTATATTATCAGTACTTATTTCCTTCAGGTATTTTTTAAATTCATATGAATATTGTTAAGCATTTTCAACCTCTAAGGGCAAATGCTCATCTATTTGTTATTACTTACAAAATACAGATAAAAGTTACTTTAAGCTACAGTATTCTGTTCAACTTATTAATATTTCATTCATATTTGTCTCAATACTTAATAGTTCTGTGCAAAATTGTATTGTGATGGAATGTAGTAATTCATTGATTTAATCTCTCATGTTAATAAGGTTATTTTATTGATGCATTTAAGAAAAAATACAAACATACCCATTTACAGATCTAGGGGGTCTAGTCTGTTTTCTATGGTTGCTTACCTATATATCTGAAATATTTTTTTAATGTTGTCTCGAGGCATCATCTGATAAAGAACACATTCTTGTATAAAAATTTCTTGAAGTTTTCCAAGATTTATTCTCTTAATGTCACCCAAAAGCATTTCTAAGATTATGTGAAAGTTCATATAAGCTGTTTGATAAATGCAACATTACCATAAATCAGCTTAGTCGGAAGAGCAAAACAGAAAGACATACTTGGCAAGGGGATTAAAAGTCTCAAAAGTTCATGCTTTCCTTGAGTATAACTAGAGAAACTTTGTTTTCTCACATAACTAGAGTGTGGTAGCATCATGAATGAATTGTAAATGTTCAAGAAATTCTCTATTTTCATTCTGATGTTGCACATCAACTGCAGTACATGTCAAGTACAAGTTTTTGATAATAGTTTCCTTTAATGTAGCTCAGAAAACTTATTTTTATATGGAACCATATTTATAAGGTTTTCAATTAAGTGATACAGATAAATTGTATGAATAACATAACAGTAGAGGCAACCTGTTGTTGAAAAGATTTCTGAAGTATCTACTTTTAAAGCCCATGACCTGGCAGATGAGCTTTTCGTCTTTTTCATCATTCATGAAACACAAGACTGTTTGACTCTTTAGATGTTATCCTCAATAAGGACACAAACTACAGTAAGAAGTGAAATATAACAAGAACACAAACCAATATAAAAAAGCGTGCTGTTAATAGCTATGCATCCATTTATTCTTCCTCTCAGTCTGTTTTCCCCTAAAGGAGGAGGAACATTACTATCCAGTTCTTGTGATCTTTTGGTAATTAATTTTATCAGGCTGTTGAGGTAAGCCAGTTATTTTTTGAAGATTTGTAGAATCATATGTGCAGCTGAAAATTCAGAACCTTGTGCTGTTTTGCCCTCTGACTAATGCTTGGCTACATTACTGATTCCAAATTGAATGTAGCATGACCCCAATCCAATACAAAGCAAGAGCAAGTTGTTTGCATTGTGCAGTGGGAATGTCTCAATTTTCCCAGTAATTTAGAAATTTTCTCTCCAGTTTCTTTCCTCATTCATTGTTCATTCAACAAATATCTGCAGAGCACTGCCCAAATCTTACTGAGCAATTCTAATTTAGGCTCTATTATATATATGTAAGAAACTGTTATGTGTATATACATATATGTATATGCATATATATATATATCTATATCTGAAAATAAATATATAGGTAGAGTCTTCCAAAATACTTTAACTGATGTTTATCAATACTGGATTTAACTACCCTTTCTCCATAGCTATTGGTCTTTTAATTTATTTAATTATAATAATTTTCCCCTAAGACAAGTCCTTGAGTTTTGGTAATTTTTTTTTTTTTTTACTCATAAAAAATTTTGGTTCTAATTTTTTTCTTGCCTACATTGCTGTCTCTTAAGACATACTTTACCTAAGGCTTTTTGAACCTCTATATTTATACTTTGACTCCTGGATGAGCTTCTCTTCTTCTCTCCTGCCTTCTGAGAGGGCAAGAGACAGCAGATAGACTCTGTCTTACCTTATACCATCAAAGTTATTCACCTTTTGCATTGAGGGAAAATGGAAAGTATCATTCTTTTATTTTATAGCTCCAAAAAGATCAATGAAACTTTGAGCAGGAGAACATGAGCAGCCTCCTGCCTGCCACCCCTTGACACCTTCCCCCACTCATCCCTCCCATGGGTCTGTGTCATTTTAAAAAAGGTTTTTAAGAAGGGCTGAAGTAAGATAGTGGAATATTGCTCATTGAGAGAGCTTGATCCTTGAAAGGGATAATACGGAATATGATGATTTTCAAAGCATAATTCTTATGGCACTATCTTTCTTGAGAAAAACAAACAAACAAACGAAAAACAAAACACAAGAAACTTGGAACATTCATAACAGAGCAGGATAAAATTTACAGATAAGCATGGAAATTCATGCAGGAGTAGAAAAAGGGCAAGATATATCTGTTTGTCAAAAAAGTTAAAGGAGTTCCTAAGTATTGCAAAGTTTAAGAATAGCAAAACATTTTGCAGTAGAGTCCTACACTATGTTAGAAGATCAGATATGTTCTCTAGGTTATAATCTCCCACTCTTCTTTTTCCTCCAGAGACTCACAAATCTTTCTAGTAGTACGTTTCTCAGTAAAATTTGAGTTATTAGTTCACTGGATGAAAAAGCAAGAGCTGTCATCTTCTCCCAAATGATTTGTTAAGCCTCTTGCATTTTATACCCTGATTTCACCCAAGAGCCCATCCATGAAGCTTCAATCTGACTCTGGTTTCCTCCTTTATACAAGAAAAGATATATCACCCAGATTTACCAAATCAGAAAATTGAAGAGAATATTATTTGTTTTCCCTGCACGTTTCATACCTAAAGTATTCATTCAATATTCTGTTGAGAATGGGTACAAGACAATCTGTTCTTAGATCATTTTCCTGAAAAGCTTGATAGGTTGCTTGCCAGATTTGTAGTGGCTCAAAGGTTTTGTCTCATGAACTTCTGATTTAAAGATACCACACTGCAGATAAAATTTGCATCCAAATGATTTCTTTTTTGATAGTTTGTTGAGTTTTGTTTTTTTTTGCTGGATTACACTGAGGCCACTAACAAACTCATGGATTATAAACCACACTGCCTCTAGTTCAGGTATTTTTGCAAAGCATTTGTCCTTCAAACAGTTGCTGCTCAGATACCCTTTGTGCTATTCGTTCGAACAGATGTTTTCAAAATACATACATGTGCCAATGTGTTGGGTGTCCTTATATAGAATCTTAGAACCACGGAATTGTTTCAGTTGAAAGGATCTTTAAAGACCATCTAGTACAATCCTCCTGCAGTGATCAACTAGATCAGGTTGCTCAGAGCCCCATCTCACCTGATCATGAATGTTCCCATTCCCACTACCTCTCTGGACAACCTATTGCTGTGATTCACCACCCACATTGTAAAAAATATTTTCCTTATATCTGGTCTGAAATATATATTTGTGTATATTGGATCAGTCAATTAGTTAAAACACAGTTTTACTTTTTTTTTTTCATTGAAAATAGCTTTTT